GTCCTCATGTGAGGGTTATGTAAAACTTTAGTGTTTATCAATTTAAAGTCTCAGATGGCCACATGGCGGGAAAACGCGGGAAGAATTTATAGCAATATGGCGTCACAGAAACGAGACATAAGAGCTTTTTTCACTTCTGCCCAAAGGTATTTTATTTATATCTTGTACTGACGTTCTACTCAAACACTGAAATAAGTTTTCTTGAATATTTAATAAATTATTATCTGACACCATTTGCATTTACAATCATTTACATAACAAAACATCAATAAATTTGCATGTTTGCATAATTGCATGTGATGTTGAATGCACTCTTGATTCTACAATCTACAGTATATCATTTTGGATAATTAACAGGCCCGAAGCACTGGAAGCAGTGGAAGGAGTATCAAGAAATTCGGATAATTCTGTCGATGAATTAAACGATCATCTAGATGAAGATCATGAAGTTGCAGTGAACTTGGAAATGGACTCTGATATGGTAATGATAGTATTCTTTAAAACTTTCGTTTTCAACTTTTCATAGATAAGCCCATCGAGAACTAGGAAAGGCTACCTCGTGAATTTTCTTTCTAATTGCCATTGTCCTAATTTCCTACTGTCTGCTGAAATAACAAAATTTCAAAATTAATATTTTCATTTTACGAGTGCGTCAGCGACGAGGAAGAAGGTCAACCACTGCTTAAAAGAATGAATAGTTTACCTCCCAGAAAGCAAAGAAAAAAGGCAAGAGCACCTCCCGTATTTCCTAAAAAATGGCTTTCCAATCCTAAATATAAAGAATGGCTACGTTATGATGTGCAACATAACACAATGTGGTGTGATTTTTGTCGAAGTAACAAGATATGTGGAGTGTGGGCTGAGCAAGGAACACAAAACTTCAGGTGATTATATTTCCATCTGGCAAAAAACGTACGAATCCAACATTTTTTTTAAAATTTTAGTTACTTTCTCAACAAATTACAGGAAAAAAACTCTTCTTGTCCACATGGCTAGCAATGATCATGCAAGATTTGCATTGGCCCGTAATCCAGCGCAATCCACAGTGGTGAAAACCAGGGAAAAAATGAAAAAACAGGAAGCGCGTTCTTATAAATCAGCTTTAAGAACAGTCTACTGGATTTCTAGTGAGGAAATTCCTAACTGCAAATATCCAAGCCTTCTTCAGTTCCAACGTAAGCAGGGTGTCAAGGACATCATTCAAATGAATCGAGGAAAGAATTGTAAAAAGGAAAGTCCAGAATCCTTTCACGAGCTCCTCCACTCATTAAGTGAAGTATGTAATAGTTTTTTTCAGTTAGTAGTTATATTGTTAATTAATGTTGTGGAGTCAAATTATATATTGTATGGAATTACAGGTTTTCCAGAGAAAAATGCTCAACCACCTTAATTCTTCGCCCTTCATTGGCCTTGGTATCGATGAGTCCACAGATAGGTCACAGGAAAAGCATATAGCTGCTGTAGTTAGATATGTCGACTCCAACGAAACGAAGATCAAGACCTCATTTCTTAAATTATCAGTTATTACAAGCGGCACTGCTCCAGCAATTGTTGAAGCTGTCAAGAAAATCCTAGGAGATTTTAGCATTCCTGTGAACAAGGTACATTACATTTACATAATTGAAATGAGTACTCAGGAAATATTTGACCAGAGATTAGTGATCTCTTATTAATAATATTTAAAAAGATTATGAAGTACAGTTGTGAATTTATACAACATTAATACATTCTATAGCTCACAGGTTTAGGTATAGATGGAGCATCTGTGATGGCAAGTGATATGAATGGTGTATTGGGACTTCTGCAGCGAGAGAACCCATTTCTAATTGGTATTCACTGCATTAACCACAGACTTCACCTTGCTGTTTCCAAGGCAGCAAAAGATATAAAGAATGTGAATACACTATCCACTATACTCAGCACTATTTACCAGCATGTGAACAACTCACCTAACAGGCTTCAAAAGTTTAAAAATTTGGCTGATGTGCTAGGTGCGATTAATCATGACAATGCACCTGAAGAAGGAAACGAGAACATTGCACCATCCTTAAAGTATCTAAAGTTCAAGCGAGTAAGAATTAATATAGATGAATATTATGAATTAATATAGCAGATCCTGGAGCATTGAAGAGGGAAACTGGATGATTAACTTGTTTTCTTTTCAGATTTTTGATATAAGGTGGTTGTCTGTTGGGGAAGCAGTAAAGGCAGTGATTCATAATTACCAACCCCTGCTTATTCTGCTTGAAGAAGAAGCTGCTAACGATGAACCTACTTCGATGGGACTTTTGGAAAAGCTATCCTCGTATAAATATGTAGCTCTACTCCATCTCTTGGGTGACGTCGTGGGAGCTACAAATCACCTCTGCAGAATTTTTCAGTATCGAGATATTTCATTTTCTACATTGCAAAGTCAGGTACTCTAACTAAAATTTATAAAGTTGTTACTATAATTCATAAGAGACTAACTAAGATGAATAAATATCAATTTAATTACTTTAGCTACCAATATTTGTCGAGACTTTACAAGATATGAAGAATCAACCTGGAAAGTATCTTCAGATGTTTCTTGAGTGTGTGGAAGAAGGATCTGACGAGATAATTTTTGAAGGAGTTCACCTAAAAACTAATCCTCATCGAAACGAAAGAATGAATCAGTTGGAAGAGTTTGAGACAGACAGGCAAGCATTCATTGATGCCCTGGTAAACAACATCACATCAAGGTTCCCCAATGTTCAACTACTTTCTGCTTTTCAGGTAGTTAATATCAATCATTGTAAAAAAAATAGTTTTTTAGTTCAGTATATTTTTAGTATACATATATATGTAGTATAAGGTGGACAAAAAGCCTTAGCAAGGTTAACAGCCCAAATGTAAATTGAAAAACGAAGTCAAATAGAAAAACAGTTAATCAGCTTTTATTTATTATCCAGCATCCCGTAGTATCTAGTGTCTCATTATTTTATAGATATTTGATCCTTCTGCTTACCCAGAAAACCTTCAGCAACTCGCAGGATGGGGTTATGACCATCTCAAAAACCTGCTCGATTTCTATGGCGAACCTAAGCGTTTGGAGAATCAAGTCATCCAGGCTTTGGTGAAACCAGAAGCTGCGGAAGAAGAGTTCCTGTTTTTCAAACGGCTTGTTTACCAAAACAGGGGAGAAGATCGAAACGAAAATGAGCAGCTGAAGTTCTGTTTTTACAAACCGCAAGAATTATTTACTAAGCTATTTGGTGGTGGCAATGTAGACAACAAAATGATCTATCCACGTACGTTTATTCCATTAGCATCATATTAAATTCCTAAATCCTAGAAACAGTTTACTAATACTACCAGTTGCCATATAATGTGAATACAATGTTTGCTCTTCCCTTCTCTAGAAATATACAAGCTTATGGTCTTGACCTTGACAACGATGCCTTCAAATGCAGAGGCTGAACGTGTATTTAGCGTTCAGAACAGAGTCAAAACCAAGCTGAGAACAAGGCTTGGGATAAATATACTGGACGAGCTTGTGAGAGTGTCATATTCTAAGACATCAGGAGAGTCCCTTGATTTAGATACTGCTTTAGCTATATTTAACGAGAAGCCACACAGGTGGTACTAGATACCAAAACTATATTTACTGTATTAGTGTATGTTGTATAAATTGAATAAAAGTTCTGTTTTACATGTGTTGTTGCCTTGTTGGTCACAGAAGGTATTAGCACATTTAGCAAGTTATGTGATAAAACATTAAAAGTCTTTGGCTGAAACTTTGGAATGCATAAAACTTTCACTAGTGCTATTCTGGGTAAGCATGTGATTTATCACCAAATGCACCATTGATAAGATCTTGTTTCACTCACTACTCTCAGTACGAAACAGCGAGCGAAACATGATTGATATACCTGGTTGCAGTGAACGAACAAACATTAACAAGGTCTTTTAAAAACCTGAACACTTTCATAAAATGTGCTCTTAGAATGCTGGAAACGTCATTTCAGAGATACAAGTCTTTAAAAATTTCCTTGGGGGGGGGGGTGTTCCCGGAGCCCCCAGAATTATTGTGCCTACGGCACTCGATGAGTACACTCCCAAAAAATTTTAAAACACGCCCAAAATTAGAAATCCTAGCTAAAACCCTGGATACAGTAACATAAATTCTAGATTTATGAAACATTTCGCACTATTGTCTCAATTATATATGCCAATTTCTAGGTCTTTGCGACCTTTCGCATATGCATGGAGCAATTTTCCTTTCACAACCTCAAATGTTTGTGCATTGATATACTGCAAGCTATATAAAAAAGAGTACTTTTGTTCAAATGTTAGTCGGCGTTTTTACTAAAAAGTCCCTATTTTAGGGAGTGGTCATTTATGGGGAGGGGGGGGTTAGTAAATGGGGAAAATAATCATTGAAAACTTTTTTGACCCCCCACCAGATTGAAGTGAAGGCAAACTTTTTGTTCCCCCTATAAAAGTGAAGGCTTTTCTGACCCCCCAGTATGGATTGAAATATTAACAGCAATGAAACAGGTGTGGGTTGCAGGTAAAGTTAGATATTAGGACAATCTGTTTAATCTAACTCATGATGTTTTACCCTGGTGAATATGATTCAACCATATATGATTAAAAGAATATATTATGTGTTACTACTTTGCAATGCAACATTTGTCCTACCATAACCCTAACCCATGGCCTGTATTCATACAGCAAAATTATTTGAACACGGGGGGGGGGCATTCTTTAATTATAGTTTACGTTGAGTTTTCTAGCTTCATGCACTGCTTTTAATAATACATATTGCTATGAGGTATAACATTTGGTTGAGGGCCTGTTTTAAGGGTGTGTAACTGGAGGGGACTTATTTAGCGGGGGACCTGGAGAAGTTCCAATCGGCAAGTCTGTATCGGCCTGTATCACTGCAGCTACCAGCATGCATATATATATATATATATTAAGATGAAAATGTTCTAGAGTGTGTATTATATATATATATATATATGTTAGTTGTATAATTGTACACTCCGTAATATGTTAAGATGAAAATGTTCTAGAGTGTGTATTATATAATTTCCATACCCAGCGCAAGCAGAAAGATCTAATTCAGCGCCGGGAAATTCGAACTCGCGCGAACAAACAAGTTAACGCATCATCAAACGGTTGATGATGATGCAATCACGTAATCAATAACAAAATCGTGAACAAAATCGCCTGATGATCGTCTAGAAAGGACGTGAAACTCAGAGTAGCGATATTTAATTTTAAGATATATATATATATATATAGAGGAACTTATTGCCACAGCAATAAGAGTTTTTATTGCTTCCCGGAATAATTTATAGTTGAAATTAATTATGCGAAATAAGTAATTTGCGCGCGCAAGTTAATATTCAATGTGCGGCTACCTCCAATGTATGCCATGATTATTCCGCTGCGTTGTGTGATGTATGCCAACTTCATTTCGTTGTGACGTTTACATATATGTCAATACTTCTAACGTTTTGCAGTATTGTTATAGAATATCAATTAGATTATTCCACTGCTTTTTGTCTTACATGTTATTTTATTATTGTACAGTATGTTTTTGTTAGGTTTATAGCCCATTTAGCCGGTATGTCGATATCAATTGGTCAAGCATAGCTAATGTACATGGTGCAACTCAAATTTTGCTTGTCTGCGTTCTTTAGTCTTTCCTTTCAGAACATTCATGCTACTAGCCCAAGCATCTCAAGTACAAATGGCCGCTGAAGAAAACGTCAATCTTCCACCCTTCATGGTTGGCACAGTACAGTGACAGTGAAATGTTATGGCCAACTTGGTACTTCCTATCCTTCAACTATTTTCGTCCGCACCACCCGCTCTAATATAGATTTGTGGTTTGTGACTTGGCAGTACGCGGTGGCGCCAAATTAAAAATGTTATACACCTGATTGCGATCTTTGCGGCCAAACCACATACTGCGATGCCAGGAGGGTTAAAAGTCATTAGGAAGCCTGAATACGTGACTTTCCTCTTATTCGCGCACTGTGCCAAAATTTAATTACGTGCACGCAATCTCAGATGCCTACTTCTGGTCATTTTGTGACAATCTCTTGGCAACCTAGACATTCTCCATGTAAGGCAATATATCAGATTGCAAAATTTTAATTTTCATCCCCATTGATTCTCCAGTAATGGCGCCCCAACCGCTGTCAAGTCTCGACCTACCAACACCAGTCAAAATAAATCAATTAATTTATGAATGCATTTACTGGGTGGACATGATGCGAAATTGACTGTTTATTCATATGAAGGTTTTACATTTGCGAATATCGTTTTATGCAAATTATAATCTTTTATCTGCTGAACAAAACCATGAAATTGTGAGCACTATATTAAATGTCTAGAGGAATAGCTGCGTGTTCGCCTTTGGGTATTGTTTATACTAAACAAGCGCCGGAATACATTATTGATTTTCTCTAAATTATATTGTTAATTTTGGTAGTCATTGCGATAAACAACGCTCGTGCTGATGTCGTACATTCGACATGTTTAATTACTTTAATATCCGGCTTCAGAAACGGTTGCTAAAACACTGCTAAATATTTCGCATCATGACTTCCCGACTTGGCAGCTTCGTAATTATCACCAATGCCGCATTCATCTTGCTGATTTCTTATCTCTTTGCAAATATTTGGGTGTGCCAATCCGTGAGCTCTCATTTGCAAGAATTGAATTAGACTCTTTATGCATGACAGCGCTATTTATTACCCGAGGATCAGACTGCGGAATTTAAATTAAGTCACTTGCGTAAAAAGGTAATCCAATGCTCGATTGCCCTGCTTAATTAATTTAGTTTTGCATGTGGTCGTGCCACGTCGTGCCTTGTTATGACGGCTTGTTGATCTTACAAAATGCATCCGAATCGGACCAGCATAGTCGCTATACCCTATTGCACTCGGCAATTTGCAAGGCGGTGGTAATTCAGCGTATAACGTTCTTAACAGATGATGCTGCATTGGTTGATATTATAATAAGCCTATTCGTAGTCCGTGGCACGAAATCCGTACGTGCTTATTTAAGTCCTCACTCTTTCGGATTATGAAAACTGTTTTGATATATCACGTTTAGATACTTATTATTCGTAATTCAAAATGTTTTCTATCGTAACGCATCGCTAAATGCAAAAAAATCGGCAAATATCGTCAAACTTTTTCCACTCGCTCCAGACATACTTATAGATCAGTGCTCCCTTCCTATCAACGTTCTGATTGGTTGAAGCTATTTTTATTCCCGCAAAAATTTATTCTCGCAAAATAATTCCCGCAATTTTGAAGAAACAACATGGCGAACAATGTGTTTTAACATATAGGTATATATCGTTTTTACCGAACGAAACATTGTATTTATTTAAAAATTATGGAGTGTTGTATACATTCTGAAAAAGGAAGTGATCCAAACGATAAAATTATTCAAGTTACTGCGAAATCTGGCGACACTATTCTGTATTATGCCCAAGAGTGGATCAAAACACGAGATGAATATGGACGATCATATGCTGTTATTGCATCTAAACTGGTTAATGAACTTGTGGGCGATGATCAAGTATTTCCTGCATCATGTGGTTACCACCGAAAGTGTTACCAGCTTTTTACAAATAAGAAAAATCTAGAATCGTCAAGGAAGAGGAGTATGCAGTCTTCGGATGATGAAAATAATCGAAGCATTCCCAGGTATATTTTACCAATTACCACTGAATTTTAAACTTTTAATGAATATTAAAGTTATAGTGAATATTAAACAATAATTCGGCATCTTTATGGTTCTATAAAGTCCTTAAAATCCATCAAATTGTTTACTGTTTATTTTTGTCAGGAGATATAAAACTATGTATAAAATCAATGTCCTTGTGTTTCTCTGTGTTTTACCCGTAAGCCATTTTTCGAAAATGTGTGCTATCAACTCCCTCCCCCATCATCGATGGTCCTTTTTGTCTAAAATACATGCAAAAAATGAAGAGCAGGACTTTCTCTGGCTTTAGGGTTAGGCTTTTGGTTGTTCATACATCAACGAAGCACATGAATAGCTTAGTTCAGAAGAGTGCTTTAATATTTCCTTAACCAAACATTGCAGGCAGCTTAGTTTAGTGTATTCCTCTGCTTGTATCTGTCACTACTGAAAATGTTGTAGTTAATAGTTTGTAGTTTATAATAATAGCAATATTAGTGATAATCAGGGCCGCCCAGAGGTTGGCGGGGGCCCGGGGCAAATTTTTTTTAGGGGCCCCTATCTAAAAAAATTTCCCGGAAAAATTTTTTTCCGGATAACAACCCGTCGCCAAAAAATTTTCGGTCAGTGTACCATTTTAGGGGTCAAAATTTTTTCCGGACGAATACATTGCAATTGCTTTCAAGGGACTTTATCTCATTTTTTTATGCCAAAATTCGGTACTTAGCCCAAGAAAACAGATATCTTGTCCTTTGCGCGGAAATATTTAACACACAAAAAAGGCTGGGGCCCAACAAAAATTTTTCAGGGGCCCCCAGCAACTCGGGCCCGGGGCAATTTGCCCCCTTTGCCCCCCCCCTGGGCGGCCCTGGTGATAATAGTAATTAGTATAAATAATGTCATGATTTTTTTGCAATGATTTAATGTAGTGGGCAAGCTGAAAAATCTGCTTGCCCGCAGTTGGAATTGAACCCGTGACCCACACTGGGCAAGCTGAGGAATCTGCTTGACCGTGGTTGGAATCGAACCGCGGTTGGAGTCGAACCCGTGTTTGGAATCGAACCTGCGACCTTGTTCATGGGTTTGATTCCAACCGCGGTCAAGCAGATTTTTATCATCATCTAGGATTGGCTCTATAATTTTATGACTGAGTATTAACATTGAACATAGTGCAAATCATAAAACGTTCAGTCTGTTTAGGTGGGAAATAAATGCAGGACACCAAAGCATTGAAGTTCAAAAATACAAAAATTATTTGGTTGGGGATACCCAAACCCTCGTATCAGTTCACAGTTTCCATGTTCACCACTCCTGCTGAGTTCTCTTTTCCTTGATGTCCCCTCCCACACCCTACTTCCGAATTCTTAATAAGGTCCCGGTGTTTCAGAAAAAAGACAAGACAAAGTCAAGGTACCGTGAGCCATATTGTTAAAGCAACAGTGACATTGTTTGGGAAAAAATGCATTATCTGTCAAAAGGAAAAATACAAGAAAGATAGTTCAACAGGTATTATTGAAACTAAGAAAGTATTGTTGTTTACTTCGTTTGTCTAATAGATAGAATAAACAATATTTGAATTGCATTTCTGACTGTACTTTTTTCACCTATATACATTATATATTTTGTTCCTGATTAAACAATGTTATTTCTGTCATATGCACTGACCTAATAGTATGTTTGATATGATCAATAGTTATTTTTGTCTTAGGGGCGTATAAGCCTGAGCCGTTGACTAAGTGTATGTCACCAAGCGCAGAAAATGCTATCAAGTTTGCTGCTCGGAAGAAGCAGGATGAGAAAGTTCTGTTTATTGTTGAAGGGGAAGATTTAAAAGCAAAGGAAGCTCAATATCACCACTCCTGCTTTAGAACGTTCACATATATTCCAGTAGAACACGATATGTCAACTGATGATGCTTATTCGAAATTCTGTAGTGAAATCATTCAAGACCGTATTATTAAGGGGGGTGAAGTAATAAAGATCTCGAAATTGGCAGAAATTTACAGCAGCTATTTGCAGCCAGATGCAGATGCACCGTATTTTTCAAATTGGAACTTGAAGCGGAAGTTGAAGAAAACATTCCTGTCTTTGATATATATCAAAGTCAAAGACATTGCCAACTGTGAGTTGGTTTGCAGTCGCGAACAAAATACTATGTTTGTGGCCCATGCATCGACAGAGGAATCTAGTGACGAAGATGAAGTGCGCACCATGGGGAATTTAGAACACAATGATCAGCGAGAATTATTCATCTTGTCCCAAATTGTGAAGAGAGCCATTGAAATGTCTCCACGATTAAATGTTCCAAACCCCCCGTTGGCCTCCGATCTCACGGGAGACGCTGCAGAAAAAATCGTGCCAATTGAACTGTTTAATTTCCTGGCTTGGATAACTGGTGCATGCGGTGAACCAGTTTCCGCTAGTGAGAAAAAATTCGTAGAGCTTGACAACGACAGTGATCGTCAGAAGATATTGTCCATCTGTCAAGACATTATCTTTCTCAAGTCCAAAGGAAGAAGAATCGTCCCCAAGCATCTTATTCTTGGCCTCACCATTCGACATGTTACTGGCAGTTCGAAATTAATTGACATTGTATCAGGACTGGGGCACTGTATGTCTACCAAGGCAGTCATCGATTATGACTCAGATCTTGCCAGATACCGTGCACAGCAAAGCAGTGTTATACCACGCGAGTTCAGTAAGTCATTTACCACATGTGTATTTGACAACAATGACATAAACGAAGAAACACTAAGTGGTAAAGGAACAACACATTGCACCACTGGTATAGTTATACAACGAATGTCTGAAGGTTCTGTAGTGGATGATGAAAATCGTCAGGCAATTTCCAAGTCAAGGGGGAAACGAGTGGAGGTATCGAGTACAGAAATACAGCCAATCTTCTTGAAGAAAAAGAGTCCGTCTGCAACATTTGAAGTTACTGCCATAGACGAAAGTAGTGGTGATAGATATGATAACATTTGCTACGTTCTAACAAAATTTCGCTGTGAAGAAGAAGAAGAAGAAGAACCTTTACCATCATGGAGTGGATTTTTTACACAGCTCACGACACTGGTTCCTGAAAAGAGTCGGATTGGCTATCTTCCTATTATTGATGGCAGTCCTACAGATCTTGGTGTCGTTAACGCTGTTCTTTCACAAAGCATAGACATAGCAGACAAACTGAACCAAAATTCCATTGTTGTTGTCATGGATAAAGCCGTATATGCTAAAGCTCAGTTGATCCGTTGGACCGATGATGTGTTTCAGAATCGATTAGTTCTACGACTTGGTGAATTCCATGTCATAATGTGCTTTCTGGGTGTGATTGGCAAACGATTTCAAGATGGTGGTTTACGTGACATCCTCATTGAAAGCAATATCGTCGCAGAAGGATCTATAAATGGTGTTTTGTCAGGAAAATACTACAACCGTAGTATAAGATCAATGAAAATCGTCTATGAGGCAATATATCGTCTCGTTATCACCGCATTTTTAGATTTCATGTCCGATGATGAGAGAAATTCATTGGAATATGTAGTACATGATCTGAAGGCAGCTTTTAGTAATGGAACTTTTACTGAAGTTGCAGAGAGTGAAGATGTCCGAAATTTCCTGAGAAAACTAAATGAATTTACAAGTGAAAAGGGAAAGTCAAGTCCGACCTTCGCATATTGGTTGAGTTTCCTTGAAATGGTAGATATACTATTGGAATTCGTAAGGGCAACTAGGTTAGTAGACTATAACACTTATTATGCTTTATTTTATGGGTTTTTGTGATTAATGCGACCTTTTTTAATAGTTCGAGTTCTCAAAGGTATACGCTGTGTAATGTGTAATTTAATTATAAACAGATAAAAATTACTTCTGTTTCTATTTCCAGAACGGGTGATTGGTTTCTGCACCTCAGCTCGGTTCGACGCATGCTACCCTGGATTTTTGCATATGACCGCGTGCACTATTCTCGTTACCTACCCGTATACTGGTTAGAAATGCTGAACTTACCAACCAGTAATCCAGATATTCATGAGCAAATGATAGCTGGAAATTTTGCAACCCAACGTACATCACAGCCATTCAGCCAGACTCCAATGGACCAAACTCTCGAGCAGACGCTGAATAAGAATTCCAAAACTAAAGGTGGTATGATTGGATTCTCAATTAACAAATCTGCTGTCCATCGATGGATTAAAAGTTTTGCTGATAGAGCAGAGATTCAATCTATATGTGAGAATATGGCTGGTCGTGGTAATCATACACGTCAAAGGAAAGAAATGGATATCACTCGGAGATTACATGATGAGAAGTCGGTGAAAAGTGTGATCAGTACCATAGAGGCAATGACAAATCCTGTTTCCATAGAGGATGACGAGTTGGTCAACATTGTCTCTGGCGCCGTTGCGTCACCGGAGGTCAAAGAAGATATTGCACGAGCCAAAACTGCTGGAGAGGAACAATGCTCTGAGTACATTGATCTACGCCTAAAGAAAAAGGAACTGGAGGTTTTTGATGTAATCACAGCACTGAAACTCAAAACGTTTTCATCAACCACTAAGACCACTAAGGCAAAATCGGAAAAGACAGTGTTACAAACTACAGCAAGAGATCTTGCCCGAGTTCTGATAGTCGCCAAGTCTAATAACTTGGACTTAAATTACGTACTGTCTTTCCCTCTGTGCCCAGTGCCATTGTCGCTTGCCAACTATGACGGGACGTTAGCTAAGACTGACAAGTCTGCCATAGGCCGTTTCCTGGAGAAGAATGTTGAAGACGTAACGAATTCGAATGGTTCCACTGCTTGGATTATTGATGCCATGGCTCTAATTCAACGTCTGAAGGACATTCCCATCACATTCGATGCATTGTCTGTGAAAGTATTGAAGAGTGTGATAGCTACAGCTACTCAACATCGTTGCACCAGAGTTGACTTCGTTGCTGACCGATACCCCGATTTGAGCATTAAGAATGCTGAGAGAGAGAGGCGAAAAGGAAAAGGAGCTTCTGTTATCCGTTTAAAAGTTGACCATGGTTCAAAGAAGACCCCAAAGCAATTCAAGAAATTCCTCTCGGTGGGAAAAAATAAGGAAAGCTTAATAGAGTTTTTCTTTGACCATTGGAAGACAATCGATCCAAGTTTTCTTCAAGAGGTTGAGTTATACTTCGCACATGGCTGTCAGTGTCACAAGTTCAAGGCGTCAGCGACGAACTTGACTGTGGAGTCAGTAGATGTCTTATTCTCTGACCACGAGGAAGCTGACACTAGGATGGGATTGCACGCTTTGCATGCCTTTCAACAACATGAAGAAGTTACGATCCAGTCTGATGACACAGATGTACTCATCATTTGCATCGGCCTCAATAAACTATTTTCTGGAAAACTGTATATTCAGCGCGGTAATTTGGCAAACTTGAGAACTATCAACATTGAATCGGTAGTCAGCATTTTACCAGATGGAGTGGCGGAAGCTTTGCTGGGTTTACACCCATTCACTGGCTGCGACAGCGTCAGCTGCTGGAAAGGAAAGGGGAAAGTGACTCCATACGAACTTATGATCACCAACCCGTCATACATCTCCGCCTTTACCACCCTTGGGCAAGAATGGTCTATTTCCAATGTTCCAATGGATGTTCTGGAGCAGTTTCTCTGCCAGCTGTACAACCGTCAGAGTATTCTACCTTCGTTGCTGGATGTTCGACTTAGAATTTTCATGAAAAAGTTCTGTTTGGACTCCAAGCTCCCCCCCATCATGGATGAAGTCACCCAGCACACAAAGAGGGCAAATTACCAGGCTGCCATACTGCGCAGATCATTGGAACCGGTGATAAACGCTCCAAGTCCTATTGGCCATGGATGGATTTCTTCAGACGGTGAATGTCAACTTGCTATTCAGTGGATGACGGTTGCCGTAGCTCCCCCAGAACTACTCGAGCAAATTTATTGCTCATGTCGCAAGACAAAATGCTCTACCCGAATGTGTTCCTGTTTTTCGCGAAACATGCGATGTGGACCTCTTTGTAAATGCACTGAGTGCGAGAATGGTGAGCAAGTCTTTTCTGACCTTGTGTCTGATGCGGTCGACGACATCCTAAATGGTGATGACAGTGATTCCGATATGGACGCTTACATTTTATAAACGTTTTTATAGTTAATTTAAAGTGCTTATGCAACGAAAATTATATAATTAAAAGTTTACTTTTTTTGGAAAGAACTTTACAATAATTGGATGACATCCTTTACATCTTTTATTCTTGATATATTGAGGTTGGTTGAATTCTCTAATCACACAACCAATGACATCACACTGCATAATTTTGAGGTTATATTCGGTATTTTTGCCTGACTAAACGCAACAAAAGGAGTTTTAAATGACTTAAATAAATATCTTTGTAACAAAACCCAATCATTCAATAATTCATTATGCAGCGTGATGTTATTAGATGTGTAATTTGAAAATCAACAAACCTCAAGTTATGGAAAAACTGTAAAGGATGTTATTCTATCATTTTAAACGTTCTTTCCAATAAAAGCAACATTAAAATAACATAACTTTCGTTGCATAGGCACTTTAAATGTTTTATAAGGTTCAATTCAGTAGAATTTAATTAATAATATTTTATTTTAACAGCAGCATGGAGTTGCTGTTATGAATGAGGGCGCTGTTCTACTCAAATGACGTTACAATTACAATTACATCGCAACTAAGATAGCATCATTTGCTGACACTACAGTAAAGGAGCAATATATGAACATATTGAGTATATTGTTAAATTGTAAAACATTTGTGTGGTTATATATAACGAGTAGCTTTGAAAGTTTTGACTGTTGACACTATTTTCTCACAAATGAAAAGCTCAGATAACGTTAATTCCGAATGACTTAATAATTAATAGGTGGGTTTCACTTGGAGGGCAAAATATTTAAAATTAAAGGTACAATGCTGGATGTTTAATATTTTTGTTATATCCTTACTGCTACAATCATGGCAAAAATTATGTGGACACTTACGTGTAAACTAAACTATTACTGGTCAAATACACATGCAGGCGTCTTTGTCTCCCCCCTGCAATGTTGGTTTTTACATGAATTTCACCAAGCTTTCACCTAATCAATTTATAATCTTTCAATATTGAACGGGGGGGGGGGAGGGAGAGTTAAAAATTGCTGCTTTTGCACGTATGTATTGAGAAAGCAGGTATTTTCATTTCCGCGTGAGCTGTCCACAATAATTTTTCCCAGGATAATGTACTGTTCACAAAAATGTTTGAGTCGATTCACGTATTTCTCCTCCAGTTAACGGCGATTTGACAATATTTTTTGCTGAGTCAGCATTTTTTCCAAAGGCCGTTTAAATTATGTTATACACACAATTAAGTTAAAAAACATCTTTAAGATTAAGACGTGGCTTCCAATATGACCTCAAAAAGAATCGAAACATTTTGGCTAAATCTCGTTGTTATTTTAGCATTTCATTTTTGGCCGAACGGTTGCAGGTCAAATTTTGTGACGTCACGGTGAACCCACCTATAGAGAGACTATCACGTAGAAAACATTGTATTTTATGATTCCATTAATACTCCTTTATTCATTTCTGTAATCAATTCCTAGTCCGAACATTGAGGACTTCATCTCAAAATCTAAGCGTCTGGCAGATTTCGTGCTGCGGACTATCGGTTCCATTTTGGGATTCGACTGTTATGATATTTGTATGTAAACTGGTGCTTGCTTGTTTTTAATTAATAGCATTAAGTATATCTTTATTTCGTACTCGCGGAACATATCGCGATTAAAAAGTGTTTCAGGGAATCCTGTATCTCGGATACAGGTTTCTACGTTGACACAGCTTGCATCAGCCAACGTGCATTCATCACCAACAGTCATTCCGGATCGACTATCATATATATAACCTCGATTCACGTTTCTAAATTTAATTTATCCAGTCTGTTAATAACAGTATGTACAACAAATGTTTTGTTTTTCGCAAATGTCATTGCCGGCTGGATGTTGAACTGAAACAGGGGTAAGGTTCATATTTTAGCTGATCATGCATGTTTATTTCACCCGAAACTGGTGATTACCTAGGTATTTTATCTTACTTTTTCGTCATCGCTGGACGTTGAACCGACACAGGGGTAAGGTTTACATTTCACCTGATGATATTTATTTCGCTAGAAACTGGTATAATACGGTATTTTATCGCCTCTGGCGACACGTATTCGTGATCGGTTGGAAATTGAACTGACACAGGGGTAAAGTTCACATTTCAGCTGATCATATTTATTTCAGTGTAGGCTTGTATATAGTATATAGTCAACTAGGTAATTGACAGTACTGCTATTATGTAGACCAGTGCAAGTTCATTGCTTTTGACTGACAATAGCATGTGCAGTGAAACTGACATAGATTGAGGTTTTCATATCATGTGGTATCAGTATATGTAGATATTTTTCACGATCATCTGCGAACGGTTTGTCATGTTGGGGTGGGGTGTGTCTCCTTTATCCCAAGGAGACTTGTGGCGTTAGTAATGCCCCCACCTTTTCTGTGCTAAATGTTATATAGTTATTAATTAATAATTTTTCTTGTTAATTATTAAAAATTGATTAAAACAATAAAGCGGCTATGTGCCAACAACCGGGCACATAAGCCATAATTATGCCATAAAGGCTTTGACTGGTCTCGTAGTATTCGGCAGCACAGAAAACCGATCTCAACCTGACAAACAGTTTGCCGATGGTACTTTAATATATGCAGGGAAGCGATAAAGGAACTTATTGCCACAGCGATTAGAGTTTTTATTGCTTCCCGGAATAATTTATAGTTGAAATTAATTGTGCAAAATAAGTAATTTGCGCGCACAAGTTAATGTAGGTATAGTCACGTGATTGGAAATTTTGGTATTTATCAGTGGTGAAGCGGGCTATCTGTCCTTTCCTATTCCATATGGGCTGCAGTTCACATCAAGAAATTGGATGGAAGAGAATTAACCCCCCCCCCCGTTGTTGGACGCAATATGTTGAACTTATATAGATACGTTATGTGTAGTGGGCGTTAGTAATGCCCCCACCTTTTCTGTGCTAAATGTTATATAGTTATTAATTAATCATTTTTCTTGTTAACTCATTAAGTCTCATTGCGCCCCCATGCGCCCTGGAATTGGGAACGGGGTAAGTCTCATTGCGCCCTCATGCACCCTGGATGACATGTCAACTTCCGGACACGATTGTCTAGCGTGTGTTTATCGGGTTGCCTAGCAACAGTCACGAGTATAAAGTGCAAAATTCGGGCTTTCAAACGATACATCATGCGAGAAAATTGATCAAAAGTTTGCGAAGATTTTCGATTTTAAAACTCTATTTTTTTACAAAAGCTGTGACAACCGCAAAGTGTCACAAGATAGGACTTTGCAGCAAGTTTTAAGGATGAAAAAAAAAGAGGTTTTTAAAGTGTTTTACATATAAAATATATTGTAAAACATAAGGGAGTGTGCATATGTTTCAAGCCAAGTTCTTGTCCAAATCAAGTCGCGCGATTTTCAGCCAGAAAAACAGCAATTTCTTTCAATCTAACAGAAAAGTGAAGTGGGAAATCGCAAGAAACATGAACACTAAATCCAAGTGAGTAGTTACAAAATGCTGTTTTCCTCTGAAATGGCTTCTTTTGCGGGAAGCCATTAAATTTATGTACTTTCCAAAATTGTAATTTAGTCGCTTTTTTGGTCTCATTGTTCACTTATTTATCATGGAATTACTTCGCTTGAGCTCTTTTAATAATATCTGCAAGATACTTTGCTATTTGGTGAAATAAAAGCTATATTTTTAGCAGTTTATCTTTTGAAAACTGCATGCGCAACAAAGTGTCACCAATGTGTTTACTCTCGTCTGACAAACAACCAAAGATGAAATACTTTATTTCACTCTTTTATAGCAATCTAAAATGCCTAAATATTAGATTATTCATTTTATTTGAGCATACATATTATATTTTTATACAATTGGTCCTTGAAAAGGACTTATTTCAAGCTAGAGTCAGATTTCAAAAGAAACCGCCTGTCTGACATTTTACAGCAACCTACATTGGCGCGCACGACGTTTTAGCCACAAATCCGTTGTTTTCTCAACAGAAACAAAAGGAATTTCAGTTAAAATTCTTACCTGATGAATATTCAAAAGTGTGAAACAAAAGGAATTTCAGTTAAAATTCTTACCTGATGAATATTCAAAAGTGTTTATCTCTTTTTGACGACTTTCAGTGCTCTTAATAGCGAAATAAAAAGCCTTTTGTTTTGTCACTGCACGCTGCATTTGAAAATGCTGGCTGTCAAAGTCAGAATTGAAAACACCTCAAATATTGTAAACTTTTCTCACCTTTTTCATCCTTTGTTTATATTTTAATTAGTAATTTTTGTACTTCGTGTTTTTCCAAACATATTTGAGCTATTTAAAAACTTCAAAGAGGTACAAACACTGTGTTTTTGGGTTACAGAGTTTTTGGACTTGAACAACAAGTTCTGAAGTTCAAGTTCTCCATTGTAAACTAGATGTCCTGAGTGTGCCTGAGCTATGCCCAAGCAAATTTTTATAGCATTTCATTATTTTGTAATTTATACCCTACAAGATGAAAACTAATTTGAAAATAAATGTGTACCAATCCAGGAATCAAAAAATATTTCTCCATTTATGTTGGGTTATTGACTTATTGCCCTTCAGATGTTGGGTGTCATGAAGAAACAAAATGTCAGAGACTTAAATTGACACAAACCAAGAATTCTCACCCAAAAATCT